GACTGCATTAACACCATTTGTTGAAACTCCTATTTGCAGGTGGATACAGTAGTGAAGGTGTTTAAGGCTGTTTTGCAGTATCCGTCACCAACTTCTGCATCAGTAATGAATGGAGTTGCTGGCAGCAATGGAATAACTATTTTATCGTCTTGGTCACAAGGAAGTCTGGAAAGATTAAAGTCTATAAAATTTCAACAGACACATATTTTTGATTCATCATTAAACAAAGTCTCAGATACATTACCAGTGGATATATCTTTTGAGTATGTTCATTTATGTTTTGTAGTAATAATTTAATTCAGAGGCAGATTTGTTATTTGCATGTGTGTGTTTGCGTTGGAAGCGCAAGTCTTGAGTATTCTGACGCGATATTTTACTTTATTATGAGGTTAAATATAGGGCTACATACTTAAGAAATCAAGATGTGATCTCTTTATTGCAGGCATTGACATTATGTTTAGTGCGTTGATCAATGTTGCAGGCTGTTGTCAACTTTTTCCAAGTCGGAAGAGTTGCGAGGAGTTGTTCGAGATATTTCGTTTGAACCTAAAAAAAAGAAACAGCACTTGGAAGTTTGGAAGCGTCAAAAGTTATGGAAGACTTTTGATCTTTCTGCTCTAGAGGTTCATGGAGATGTATATTCTGACAGTAAGCGTCTGCGATAAGATGAGTATCGCTGCTATGTATCGATTGTGGACGTTATAGTGGTAGAGTAGATAGTGACAGACTACGTAGAATTGAGCAAACCTTCTGAGGAAAGTATGTATCAGATGTTGCAAATGGTGACTGAGCATGTACGTCACACTTTCTGAAGCGTCGTCTTTTTAACACAATTGGCGTGGCATTTTGAGTGTGTGCTGCTCGTAGAGGTTGGCACTGAAAGGGTTAAATAGTTTGCTTTTTAATATGATGAGTCTCAGTATTTAATTTACGGGTGACCTCGGTCAGGAGAACTGCTGATATTTTGTATAACTCTAACAAAATACTTTATTTGTAGGCGATTTTGGTTCTTTTGACTTTTCCCCTTGTGAACAAAAGCTGCTGTACATTGCTGAGAAGAAGCTACCAAAGACTGAACCATTTTACAAGCCAAAACCTCAGGATAAGGGAGATATCGCTGCTGGAGATGCAAAAGCCACAAAGGTATGAAATCATCTTAATTTGATTTCGTAAGCGGCGCTGGAACTGCTGGCTGTAGACTGAGTAGTAAGAAACAGCCCATTCCTTTGTACAGTTCCAATTGGTGTTTTTTTCGGTGTGAATTTCTGGCGGAAGTCTGTAGACTTTCGTTCTGGGTGAAATTTCACTCGGGAATTTAACTTTTGTAGCTTCGTGATGATGTCATCAAAGATCCTCGCCCCCCCATGTTTTGTGGCTGGCTGGGAATAAATTCTTTCCACAGGGATTTTGTAGGCAACTCTTAACCGTGGCAGACAAGGCAACGCGGGGATTTGCCACCCGGTCACTTGTATGCCCAGAAACACGCGAAAGTCTTCTTGTAGAATAGCGGTTATTGTCCGACGCACGTGGTAAAGCTAACCAATGATTTTTACAACTTTTAGTTGTTAGCATGCTTAGGAATTATAATAGTTTGCACTTAATGCATTTGAAAATAAGTAGAATATATTTCTCAGAGACCAGGCCGATGCATTAACATGACATTTGCAGTTCTGAAAAACAGGTTTTGAAATAATGTAATAACGTGTTGTTATATTGCAGGGGGAGGAGTATGTGTTCCGTCAAGATTGGGGAGAACAGTTAGTGGGAAAGCATGAGCCTGTGGTAGTTGTCTGTGACACAGAATCAGAAACAGTGTTTGTCCCTGTAGGAATTCCAGCTCATCTGTCGCCTGGCCAAGTGACTTGGACCCCTGATGGCAAGGGGATCGTGGGAGTTGCGTGGGAAAATGAACCACGACGCCTCGGGCTCATATACTGTACCAACAGACAGAGCTACATCTTTCATCTCACTGCAGATGGAGTCTTTAGTATGATGCCTTCATATTGTTTTATCTCCCACACTAAACTTTTAAGTATGGAATCCGGAGGGATTTTGCAAATAGAGATATTTACACTAATCTGCACCGAGTTTGGTCATCTTCGAGATACTGCCACTCTGGCTTTTATGTATACAACTCCAGTATTTTTGCCATGCCTGGGAACAGTGCTGCAAGTCATTTTCCAAAAATTCTTTCAGTACATTGTTCTAATTATGATACATAAATATAGTATGATTCAAAATGAGGCTCTTTCAGACATTAGTTCTGGGAAGATGAAGAAATTGAATTGGGCCTAGTCAAGCAGGTAGATTGTATCTTCCAAAACTGGTTTCCATTTCCTGGACAGAGATCACATTATGAACAGTGCCGTTCGGGTCACACTGTTCCGCCAAGCATTTGGTTTTTTTTTCATTGAATGCAACTTAAGGTGGATGGAAATTCTGTGCTAGCGTTGAGAACAGCGGAAATCTTTCAACTAAACTGTGCAGTTTACAACTTGCTTATACAGCACAAAGCAGCCACGTGAGAGACTTGCCGAAGAATATTATTTGTTCAAATATTATTGTCTTTGGGTGGGATGTTGCACTTGGGTATTAATTTCTGTGTGTGAGAGACTTGCCAAAGAATATTATTTCTTCAAATATTATTGTCTTTGGGTGGAATGTTGCACTTGGGTATTAATTTCTGTGCCCCAGCCCCACGTGTCCATATAATTGTCGTAGACAAATTATCTCGTCAAGTCTTTCACTAAATGAAGTTGAGTATTTGGAATAATGAGTTCTTGGACTTCGTCTAGCATCTGATATTATAAAAATACGCAACGTTTTGAGAACCAGATCTGTCCTCGTCCTCAGGTGTTGGAAAGGGGGTGGCGCCTACTCTGTTGGGTCCATTGGAAATGGCTAACCCCTAATGACTGGACAACCTAAGTCAGAATGATGTCTTATGTCAGATGATGGACAGAGTCCAAAAACTCAGCAATCCAGACGTAACAGAATCATTTAGAATTGATTTAACCTGAAGATATTACCCGTGTTTGGAAAAATTAATTGTAATTTTTATTTTTAGTTGTGTGTGTAAAGTTTGAATTTCAAATGAATTTTGTTTTAAACAAATAATTCAATTTGTTTGTATAGCAAGCACAAATAAGGAATCAGTAATAATTTGTAAAATTTTGTTTATATTATTTATTTTCAGATATCCTGTCCAGTGAGGGTCAAGCTGTGCGATCACCTCGATTTAGCTCGAATGGCGAATACTTGGTGTGGTTGCAGCGTCCGAGCGGAGGCCCTCATCACGGTGCACATAAACTGATGTGTTGTAAATGGAACTCAAAGCAGGTTTGTGGATTGCTTTGTGTTCGATGTTGCCATTTTGAATTTTAGTGTGTGGTGGGGACAGTTCTGAAGGCCTTATTTAGGGATCAGGAGTTTTTGTGTTTCCTGACAGATTGGTTGCCTTCTATGGCATCCCAAAAATCCAGAAACGTTCCCTTACGACCCATAGTCGGTGCTACAGCCTCCCTGGCCCACAAATTTGCCAAATACAGACGCCAGTGGAGGCAGGGAGTCGTAGTAAAGACAAACCATGTGACATGCTGCACAGTAGAATGAATCTCGCCATTGGTGTCTGTTGAAAGGTGGAGACGGTAGTGGACATAGTGCAACGGGAAGCTCCCACAGTGGGCTCAGGTCCATTCTACGGTCTCTTCAACGATTCATTGCCCAGACGCTGCTGGGCTGAAGACTCATCACGTCTCATCCTGAGTACTCCTCAGAGGTGTACCATTAAGAGTTATGTGATAAACATAGGTACGTGTTGCACAGAATTACTTACAAGGGGGAATTCAAGCTTAACGAAAAGTATTTAACATGTAGAACGTGCCAGTTGCCATAATTTTTAAATTAATTGATATACCCGAATGAATGATACATTGGATTGTGGAGAAGCTCACGTAATCTCCACCAGTTCTTCCAAGTCGTCATCCTTGATTTTTACATAATCCCAGTACGTTTTCTCTGAAACATGAGGTATGGCTTCTGTATGATCTGCCTTTCTGCAGTTACTGTATGTACTGAGATTACACAATATTTGATTTATAAACCAAAGAGTATCTGTATTTCTGAGCTTTGTCTCTCATCTTTCTACTCTGAACAGGACATTTATTTTACACGCTGGAGGTACCTACACAGTTAGGTCTGTTAGAGAAGGGCTAATTTCAATCATTAGCCTTAGTTTCTTGGTCAGAGTGAAAAATGTGTGTGAATTTGGCATGTAATGACCATACCCTTTGTTTTAGTATGACTGATCATCACAGTTGATTGGCTAACACTCTTCGTTTGTATTTTAGAAGTCCTGGGTCTGAGTCTCTAAACCCAGAGACTGTGACTGAAGGTTTTTGTGGTTTTCTTTAGTCTATGCAGGCAAATGGCAAGATAGTAGGTACCTTAAATTGGATCACGATTCTTTCCTTCCACGTCTCTTCCATCTAAACACTTCTTGATAATGTTGTTGTGTTGTAACAGAGAACAAGAGTGTGACAGAGCTGGATTGTCCAGAAGGCAGTCAGATAGTGCTGGACGTTCGGAACGACATCGTTATTTGCGCGAGGAGCTCCCTGAAGTCACCACCGAGCTTGGTATTTGGCAAGCTGCCATCCCAGGGCTGTGAGCACAAAATTCTGTGGACAGCTGTGACCACCGGGCAGTCGGTCGCGTCACTCGACAGTCTCGTCTGTCACTACATGACTCTCGCTCAGGAAGATGAGTCTCAGGCATCTTGCAGTAAGTCTGTACAATTTTGCGCATCTCCAAGCCAGTGGCCACTTCCTGCACGATATCAATGTAATGTCCGACCAGTAAGAAGTACCCACAAGGTTTATTGTACTGAAACTGCAGATATCATGAATTTCTAAATCCTGTATTTCAGAGTCGTTCAGCGCCATCTATTTTGGACCAGAGAGTGCCAAAGACCATGATGTGCCTTTCATTGTGATGCCTCACGGGGGACCACATTCTGTATACACAGATTATTTCAAAATAGAGGCAGCATTTTTTGCCCAGTTAGGTAAGATATTCACTTTCATGCCCAGGGCCCTAAACTATGTCAAATTTATGAGACCCCTAAGATTAAGAATTGTTATTCTGACTGAACAGTTGAACATTAAAAAATAAAGATGAATGTCCTCTGTCTCCCCAGTGAGGTAAATATCGGCATCTTTGGGGAATTTTTCTGTTAGGACTCTTGATGTTCGAAAATATTTCCTGGAGCCAAACGTTTCCATTTTAACAGCAAAATTACAATTGCATTTACATACGAAACATGTCGGCTGCAAAGAGATGGATGTAACGAACTGAAGCATTCTTGAGCATCAATGTTTGAGGGGCGTGATTACAGGGAAGATGTCGAGTACATAGGTACTTTTAATTGTGCAAGGAATCCGTTGTCTAAAACACAATTTGCAATTTTATCCTGATACTGAAATTTAATTGTGCAAGGAATGCATTGTCTAAAACACAATTTGCAATTTTATAAATAACAGCCTCTTCAATTAACTTTATTTATTACTCGTCTTAATTAAATTTCTATGTTACGATTTGAGTATTATTTCTCTACGTTTGTTTGAGAGCAACCCTTTCATGAGACCACCTTCCCACTAAAGGAGTATGCTTGTATTGACAAAGCACAACTTTGTAGGCTGTTCCCGCTAAAGGAGATATGCTTATATTGACAAAGCACAACTTTGTAGGCTGTATCAGATAGTGTCGTATCGTTATTACAGGCTTTGGATTGTTGATGGTGAACTATCGAGGCTCCATAGGTTCTGGGCAAGAAAGTGTGGAATTCCTGCTTGGAAGAATAGGCGATTCAGATGTGAAAGATGTCCATTTTGCAACATGTCAAGCCTTGAAGCAGTTTCCATTCCTCGACCCAAAGAAGATGGTCTTAATGGGAGGGTCGCACGGAGGATTCCTCGTAACCCATCTTAGCGGACGGTTTCCGGTAATGTCATCTGAAGATACCGACGCCGTGCTTTAATTAGCGCTTGCCCACCAAGTCTCGCACATTACAGAAAGAAGAAAATCTCATTCTTTGACTGAAAATTTTAGTGTCTTCTTAATTTTTCAGGATTTGTTCAAAGCAGTGGTGGCATTAAATCCAGTAATAGACTTGCCTGCTATGTGCGCTATTAGTGACATACCAGATTGGTAAGTAGCGTTCAATCTTGGCATTGGCATCCAAAGTAGCGTCAGGACACAGCAAATTTAAATGGTTAGGTGCATTTGTATTATGGAAATGTTGGCCTCATTTTCTGTACACGAATGGTGTTCAGTCCTCACGTGCTCCTCTGAGGATGATGACAAACTAAATTTGACGTACCATTGAGAACACAGGACAAGGGAAGACTGAGATATAGCATGGATCATGCTATTGAAGTGGACATTAAGGATATAAATTTTAAGGATGTACACTGGCTGAGATGGACTTGTATTTTTAGCAGTGTCAACCATTTTGGTTCATTTCCCAGCATTAGTTACTTAGATGAGTAATTATAAACATTCAGTGGATTAGATGTAATTTGATCAGGATAGGAATGGTAATGAATTTAAATAGACCCATTTCTGTAAATATTTTTTGATTAAACACTTTATCATGGAAATTTAAATTTTTTAAAAATAATTTTGAATTAGATTGATTCAACTTCTGATTTGCTAATAACTACCGAATAAATCTTTCACATTTTCACACGCATCAATGGCTCTTGGGGCTTTTTTTTTTCCTGTAGGGTTGCAGTAGAAACTGCAGTTCCATACAAAAGGGCAGATGAGATGGACTTGACGGCACTGGAGAAGATGAGGAAGTGCTCGCCGATCACTTACGTATCCAGCGTAGTTGCACCTACGCTGCTGCTGATTGGCAGCAAGGACAGGCGTGTCCCAAGTAGTCAAGCCATTAATTATTACTACAGCCTCAAAGCAAATAATATAAAGACTAAGTATGTTGATTATTTCTGTACTTTTGTTCCTACATTTATAATACTAGTACCTTTTGTTATAAGTTACCAGCAGTTATAAATTTTGATGGTTTCAATTGGGAAAACGTAACTGGACCGAGAAAACCCAGGATTGCCACTCCAGATGTGTGGGTGGGTATAGCCTGTGATGTTGGTGCCATCCATTGAATTCTGATGGCCACACGCTGGATGTACGATATGGATTAATATCTGATGGATGTTACATCCAGAAATGTGTAACTGGATAAATTGTAAGTGTGGTGGCAGAACTCTTTATCACCAACGCAATCTTATTTTTTTTTGACAGTGCTGCATCAGTATGAAAATGGTATATTGTGTATCATCAGTAATTAAACAGTCGTGGGTTCTGGCACACTTGGCGAAGTTAATATCGTATTTTGTTTTCAGGCTTTTGCTGTATGAAGATAACCACTCGTTGAGACAGACTCCTCATGAAATGGATTTCCTCATTAATTCTGTTCTGTGGTTTCTTGAACACACTGCATGAAGCAGGGTGATCGCTCAGGGAGTATAAATAATGAAGGTTTATTTTATACATAACAGGTATTAAGTGCCATATTTGTGCAAATATAAGTTGCACTTAAATTTAAATAAGAAAATAAAATCTCATTCTTAAGCAGTATCACAGCTTCAAATTAATTTTCCTTGGGGGTATATAATTTTTTTAAACTTCAAAAGACATTGGTTTTAGTGTTTTCATGACAATCACCTTCCAGACAATCATTTTGACTTTATTTCGTGCAATTATCGATTCTTACGTGAAACATTTGTGTCTGTTATTGGAATATTTGCATTCAATCTCTTGTTTAAAAGCATAATGGAACATTCCCTATCAGCCGCAATTTATCTTGCCATGAAAAGAATTCTGATCGTAAGGCACGCCGTAGTGTGGTGGGACGCACATTTGGAAGAAAAAGAAAGTTGTATTTCATATAACCACAATATAACTGACAGGCTGAATTTCAGTCTGAAAGTAGGATGCTAATTCAAGACGCCAAGCTTCATGTGATGCTGAATAGGTCTGATAAATTAGTAAACATTAAATCTGATGTATTTTTACATGCCAGTAGAGCAATGCAGTGTCACTTATGACGTAGGAAAGGTTACTTCATGCAGTGGCTTAGTCTCTTGATGCCTGCGTTATTAGATCTCGTTCCTGTGCGCGGTGCTTTACTCTGCTGGCATGGGTTGTCGAGCTGTGATATTTGTAGGTACGAAGAATAATGATTGCGCTTCCAAGAGTTATCACAGTAGTTTTCTACTCCTTGTAGTTTCAGGATGCTTCTTGCTCGGGGAGAAGGAGTAGTTTGTTTTAAAAATGCTGTGTCTCGGTTGTCATGGCTGAATGAAGATGCACTGCCAAATGTGGTGTCGTTTGTTCGTGTCTGGACATGCCGTGTGGTTCTGTAGATGTGCACGGAAACTTTTGTGTAAGTTTGATTATTTTTATGATACCACATGCCAGTCAAGGAACATACACACCTGTGTTTCAATTTTCTTGAATAGTAGTAAAAAAGGTAGAAAATGTATCTTGGCGTTACGGTTTTGCTCTGTTACCCATTGTTTTGGTTATGGGTCAAGGAGAAGCAGGGAAATACTTGCCTTGTGCTCAGTTTACTCGTGCCTAAATTTCTTACAGATATTTTTATACTGGGACGCTCAAATTAATATGTGTAAAACACGATAGTTATAAGCAATTAGAATAAAATACATTAATGAGTTAACTTTTTCTTCTGCCCTCATATCACATACATGCTATTTAGTTACATTTTCTTCCACTTTACCCACAAGCATGTTCACTGTTGGATTTCTGGCTACAGTCGGTACCCTTTCTGCGTAATTAAGTAACCTGCGGTCACAAGCACAATCCGATTTAATTACGCGAAAAGGCCAGTATTCTAGCACGTGAAAAACAACTTTGTAGACATGTACTGGAGTGGTCCAGAACTACTTCCTTCTGGTGTTACACCTTTTTCACAATTTGGACGACATCCTCGTCGTTAAGGACGTGATCTTTCCCCACCTTTTGTGGCTGATGCTTCACTGATGATCCCCAGACCAGAGCACTAGAATATGAATTGAAATGTTTTCAGTATTAATATAGTGTTTGCACAAGATATTGACACAAAGGGTTACACCAAGTATCCGCCATTTTGCTTTACTTACAATTCTTATGTGGCATATTATAATAAACACATGTACACATACATAGTACAAAATCAGCGTTATTGCCACTCTTACTGCTTGTTAAACTATACACGGAAAATTATTGACGGTTCATCGGTTCGTCTGACACGGTCAGTCTAGACGTTGCTTTCCTCGACAGTTTCTGCATTGACATTAAACAGTAGTATCTTACTTACTATTTAAACTCCTTTGCTATGCTGCGATGCAGTTTATTACAAAAATCTTCTACACTTAGTCTTTCCGAGTGTAAAACAACTGGGGACTCGTAATCTGGAAGCTGTCCTTTTGGTTTTGTATAGCTGGAACGAATGATTAGCCATTATTTCTTGTCATACGTACTACATCAGAAATACTCCATGATAACGATAAACCTGTACGTACATGCGAACTAACTGCAGGTACTCCCACATTCTTTCAAGGAGATCGTCAAAATTCCACTTGTGGTGAGCTGAGATTGGGACGCAATGTGGAATCTTGTAGATGATATCCAACTCTTCAATGCTGATTTGATCTAGGTAAAATAAATTATTCATTCTGAGACAGATCTTAAGCGACAAATTCAGGATCATTTTATTATGAGCACATTTTATGTGCAGTGACTTAATTTTAATTTACCACAAAAATGTGTTACAATCGTATATATCGGACGCTTTCCTTTCTCCATCTCCATGTTTGATTTATACTGTGCTTACAGCGAATACTACTTAGGGAATGGGCTGGATGGATGGATGATAGCTTTAAATAAGTATGCAATGAACAGGCACTATAGCTAGAGAGGGGTGAGAGAGGAGCAATCACATCTTGTAAATGTACGTACCAATTTTATTTAACAAGTAGATACAGGGCACATAAATGCGGTTTCCCTCAATGACGTCAATCAAATCGTCGCTAGTTGCATCATATCTGAGAGTGATATCTGCGTTATGAATACGGTATTCTGACAAAATTGATTTCACTGTGTCAAGATCCAACTCCGACTGCGTAACCTGCAATACAAAACAAACTCTGACGGAACAACAGGCAAAACTTTAGTAATTTAGACTTGAAAGAAAACACAAAAATTGCATTTGACAGTAATAATAAATTACTATGTACTGAATAAAAGACAGTGGAAATGGATTAAAATACTTTAGTAAATTACCATGGTCTGTAAGTTCACACCACCCTTATCTTTCTTACGAAAGACAATGTTAGGCGGGGACTTATTGAGTCGTAAACCAAAGCCTTCCAACTCGTGTTCAATCAGCCTCTTATGTTGTAAAGGCTTCAGTACATCCAACACGATGAAAATCAAGCTGCACGTTCGAGCCACGGCTATCACTTGTCGTCCCCGGCCCTTGCCATCCTTGGCTCCTTCGATGATGCCCGGCAGATCCAGCAACTGCAATGGAGACACTACGTTGCAACTGAACTGCACGCTCATCTTCAGTCGCGGGGAAATAAGTTTTATAAATTTGCAGTCAGTGCTCTTTGGTGGTTATGTTATGTGATACTGTTCATCATCTTCAGCTAAGAAGGAAATGTGAGCAAAGTTACAGACTGACGATTTACAATGAAAATGTCGCGCACAAATAGAGGAGGGTGATTAGTGTGTCACAGAATGATAGGCCTGTGGAATTCTTCCTGTAGATGTGTGCATGATGCACTTACATCTGGTGTATGGAAATGCTTTATTTTGTGCATTATATATTTGTTACATTTCTTAATTTATGTGCATTTTAATTTGCATAGAAGTGTGACATGCAGTTATTGTTAGATGTGGAACATTATGTCATGAATTTGTTTTTGTGTTCATGGTTTTATGTGATATTCTGGTTGTCTTTTAAGTGTGAGGGAGGTACCAGAGTGCCAGTAATATTTTATGGTGAAGGGGGAATTTGAATGGTAAGAGAGAGACAGAATGGAAGGTTAAGTGTCACAGTATTTGTAAAACTACATAAATTGCCAAGTGTCATGGTGCAGTTATTGGGTACTCGGCACTTCACAACATAACCTCCACGTCCTGCTGTTCTGTACAATGACACGAGATTGGGAATTTCATGGCAGTTAAGATGCAAACTGTAATTGTGTTGCGACTCCCTCTAGTTTTCTAGGTGGTAACCAACATTTCAGTGCAGTGCATCATCTCCATCTTCAAGGTAGCCCAGTAAGTAGTATGATTTTCAACAAAAACTGATTCAAGTCGCAGTGACATGGAGTCAGCTTGCAGTGGATTGTCTTCAATGAATAATCAACGACAAATTAGTGATAGCAGAGGGAATGAATAGCAAGATACTTAGTACTGCCTGTATTAAGCACTTCAGAATCTGACAGAGAAGTCAGATTAATACCATAACTGTCTTTAAGCAGAATGGAAGGTCAAGATGATGAACAGAAACCTAGCATATTTGTTGAGCAGTCAAGCCCAGCACTACTTTTGCCATTAAGTAATTTCCAACCTTTGTCTACTTTTGAGTAATGTTTTACTTATTAAGAAAAGAGAGTCTCATCTATCCTTCACATTTTAAAACAGTGAATCAAATGTTACACAGTGTAAACAGCGATTAGGTCTCACTTGTATCTTTGCACCCTTATATTTTATACAACCAGGAACTGTTGTTAAGGTTGTAAATTCATATGCAGCAACCTCAGAGTACACACCAGCCAGAGTGCTCAGAAGTGTCGACTTTCCAACTGACGGGAAACCTGTGATAAAAATTATCAACAGCTTAGTTATATTCAATAAGTTTATCAAGATACAAAAATAACAAACCTTTAAAGATTCTACATGTTTTACAGTAATTTGAAGAACTCCTGTGTTAAGTAGAGTTGTTTTGGTAGAGGGATGCAAATATTGCTGCCAACATACATGAAACCACAGTTCTGTGGGTCGTAAAACACTAACCTCTATACCGAAAGGCACTAAATTGAGAATATCACACAAATTACACATT